AAATTTTCCAGAAAAATTCCCTGTATGCATTCATAATCGATATATGCCATAAAAGCTTTGAATATTTCATAGGAATGTTTCCCTGAATTATGACGATAACACGTGCGCGTTCGCGAACTTAAACAGACATATAAAGTCGCGCCACGCTTTTTATCGCTTTCAACACAAACATTGTAACACGATAAGCGATTTGCAATTTTCTCGTAGCATACAAATTGCCTCTCTCTCGGAGCGATGAGCAATCAAGCAATCGCGAAGGAGCAGTGAATTAACACATCGCTAACAAAGCACTTTTAAATTCGACCATATTTTAGTACGCACAATATTTTCTGCCTTCGCGCGAATTGCGACGGGACGTTGATTAGCGTTTCAATAAAGACGAGCCGTACCCTTCGACCGGACAGGCGTATCAAGTGGGGGAGCGCCATTAAGAAGCCGCTAATCGCATCATAAACTCGTCAGACATCGGATTCCTCTCAGGTGACTCGCGTACTTGCGAAAAAAACGGTCGCGTTGCGATAAACGCGCTGTTGTCCATACGGAATAAAGAATTACTCCACTTCACCTGTAGTGAGCCAATATCGCGATTATCAAGACGGCATTTCGTTATTACGTGACGAAGTGGGGCAACGATAATTCCAAGAGACAAACTTCGACAGCCACCTATGCCCAATTTCTTCACTTCCGATTAACTTTATCTGTCGGTTAAATGTCAGCCGTGAATGGTTAATTCTCGCCGACCATAAATATGATTGGTCAATTCAAATAGAATAACTGGTAGATAAAGTTGACCGGAGGTGAAGAAACTGAGTACTAGTCTACTTCGTGAGGGACGTGATATACTCGCGCGACGATTTTCACGAATTCCGTAAATTTTCAGGAAACACGCGACTTGTTATTGAGCGTGGCGCGTAATAAAGAAGATATATACTGCATGCAAGTAAATATTATATGTCTCAATTATTTCGTAAGTCTATATACCCGCAAATCTATCATAAATTCACCATAAATATCAAATATATTTCAAATCTTAGTAAGTTTAATATTTCAATCAGAAATATCAAATTGGAACAAAAATTCAGTTACTATACAGAGACAAACCAATTTCTTTTTTAACGAACTTTTTGTACATTTTTATACAAAATTTTGGTAATATTCTCGTAAAGAGATAAATTCTTCTTTTAAGCAGATATAATGATAAACTTTTCCAAAATCTGTCATGAGTAGATTTTAAGACTATTACCAAGAAAATATTCTTCGTTGAAAATAACCATTACTTAAAAGAAGAAATGTAAACGAATTAATCATTTTTCTTAGCAGTAGAATGATATTTTTCTGTGTGCACACGTGATTTCGTTACATTATATGATTATAAAGCCGGTTGTAGGACGATTTAGACACATTTTTTTCTAATAAAATTAGGAACGCTCTGATGTCACAGTCGCAAACTAGACAGCACAAATTACTAAAAGATGTCTTAAACGTTCAAAGGACATCTGAAAGAAATAAAATGTCCATGCTAAATTATGAATATCATATATGAATTATAAAATAGCATACTGAAAATATTTCTAGATACATAAAAAATAAATCTCTCTCTAAGGAATGTGTTTTACTAAATATATTTTTTAAACATACTTATTATATGCCAAAAACGTTCTTAAATGATATTAAAATGAAGCTATGCAATACAAATATTCTCAATACGTTCTTAGTAGAATATTATGTATGTCGAATATTATTAATTAGGGAATATGCGTAATTTACTGTTACGATGTTCTCCGAAAATTCTCAAGATCCACCTGTGCTGTATGGGTAATAACAACTCTTAATATAAGAATTTTATTGACATCTATTAAATGTCATATTCAAGAGTTCTTTAAGATATTTATTATATGATGTTTTCATATCTTCTAAAATCGACGTATTAATCAATTTTATGACATCATTATGTAATTATTTTCTACATAGCGTTGGTGGACGTCAAATCTCAGATGTAAATTTTTTAAGAGCTCTTTTTAATAACATATTACTGGATATCTGATGCTCATAATTTAATGATATCAGTACTATTGAGGACATTGGAGCACAAATTATATCCATAATTTAGATAAATCCCTTTAATTTGTTTCACTGAATTTCTTATAACTTCTTATAATTTCTGAAAAAATTTCTAAAAAAATTTATATAACTTTCTAAACCGGCTCGAAAACAACCGTGCACACAATTAAACTTCATTATATGCCTTCAAAAAATTATTTATTATTTCTCTGTAAATATTTTACCATACAAATTCAGGACATTGGTAGTCTATATTTGGATCATAGTCCATATTTGGGGATTCTTTTCTTTTCTTCTACCAATATTTGAACATATTTCTAACATTGGACATTCTTCTTGTTATAATCTTTAAATATGAATATTTAAACATTTAACATATATATATATCACATATGTATGTCACATATGTATGTCAACATACATACATACATATATATATATGTGTGTGTGTGTTTTTTGTATACATACACACGAACATATACATTCCATTTTGAAAGTTTATATATTTATATTAAATGTCAAACTAATATACATAAAAGAATGGCCAGAGATGCATTTTCAGGCATTAATACCTTTACCTTACTCATTCCAATCGCGTAAAAGACAAATTTCATTCGAGACATCGAACAAAAACTGAATTTCAGGAAGCAGACGAAAACTTACGAATAAAAAATTTACGATTCAAATCTACGTTTTATCCACAGCTAATCCATCGAACAAAACAAGAAAATTCACATATTAAATTCTTCTGCGATTGGCATAACCCTAATAGCTGCGAGAAAATAAAAAAAATGAAAAAAATGAAGATATGTAAACGTTTTACAATGAAGATAAATGCTAATTATACATTCTACGGTATACCATTCGAAAAATGAAGGTATGTAAACGTTTTACAATGAAGATAAATGCTAATTATATTCTACGGTATACCATTCGAGTACTGTTAGACGAGAAAGAAAATAAACGCAATAATTATGTCTCAAGTTATTTATCTTTTTTCCCCGGCATTAATTAGAGGGCTCCGAAGGACTTTGATACCGTGATGCACTCGTTTACCGTGCGTCTCTTGAAATTATCGCGCGACTACGTAACCGTTGATTATAACATGCCGGTGATGTCACTCACGTTGGACACCAGAGTCGGGATCCCCAGACGTTAGTGAAATCGCTTCCGATAACCGCGGAAAAATTCGTAAAATTGTATCGTCTCGTCACGCGTCTCGCTGATATCGCGAATACGGATCTGTATGTTTATCCAAAATGTCGTGAAACCGGTTTATATTATTACATATAATCGACATTTTTATTATATAATCGACATGCTGCTAGACATAGCTGCATGCTTGTCTAACATATTGTGGAATCGGTTTATACATATAAGCTTCAACCAAACTTCAATATTTACTAAAATATTCCAAAATTCAATAGTTCTTCTAATCGTTCCCATCGTATCTGGATATAATATGATACAATGTAATATGATACAATATATGCTAAACTGTCGAAACGACTGATTAGCCAAATAATCAAAAGTCATAATATATACATACATAATGTGTACATACATATTCAGACACAATGCGAGACATACAAAGATTAACGAACTTTGGCTTAGTTAAGGCTTTATAGAAACTTCATGTATTGCATTATTACCAGCATTATTGTCAGATATATCTGTGTCCTTCAATGTATTATGAAATCATTTTCTGTACAGTCAACGTCATGTATGTTGCATCAATCCCTTGATCAAGAATTACATGGTTTTCAATGTAACACATACACGTAAAGTCGGAATCATTATAATTAGAGTCATTCTCTGATATCATAACTAAAAGTAATTAGACTGTGTGTAAGATTGAAAATCATATAATTCTTAATCTATAGAATACCTAATGCTAATTGTACACTAAATTTCAATAAAGTTTTAATGTTTACTAAAGATTTCGATAACGCAAAGCGATCGTCACTAACACAATCACTCTATCTTTTTTGTACCTCTTATACAATCAGTGTCGGAAAGGTTGCCCGTTTTCTTTGTGACTTTCGAAACGTATCTGTCTTATCCATTGGGAAAATTCTGTTATTGACTAACACATTTTTTTTATTGAATAAGACGGATGCATTCTGAATGTCACAAAAAAATTGGACAAGATCTCCTTAAAAGTCACTAAAAAACTTAGTAGTTTTTTCAGTTGTTTCCATTGTGTCTAAATATAATATGTTATATGACATAATATATCAAGTTGTCGAAATAAAACAAATTAGCCGAATAATTTACAACAGTCATAATTTACATACAAATTCAAATAGAATGCGTATAATTTAAAATATTATGCTAAAACTATATTTCATTTTACAATGTTTCTTGTAAAACTAGACTATATTGACATTGTAATATAAATTACTATAGAATAGTAAATATATTTGACGAACTTCTAAATATATTATATAAAAAAATATTCAAATAATTACAAGTAAGTACAATAACTTCGTAGTAAAAAATCAAATAAAAACATATAGTAATTTCGGTCTTAATTTCTATATGGTGCAGGATTAAAACTTTTTATAATTTTTTAATACAATATTTGCTCATTGTGTCTCGATATCTTCTTCTATATCGTGCAATCTCTCATTACTGATTATTCGATATTCATTGCTCGCAATCATCATGAAAAGACACGGTATATTACATCTCGATACAATATTATATCGCGAGATATATTAAATATCAATATAATTTAATACAATTCGATACGACGGTTAAGCCAGATCGAAATCGCCAGATCGGTCGAATAATTAACAGTTATATTGTGCACGTATATCTGCTACACGTACACAATACAAACAATTCTAGAGATTAATAAGTTTTCACCTAATAAATGGTAAGACCTTACTGAAGCTTAGTGTACTGTAATATGATCGACATGTTGCCATACATACCTGCGTGTTTGTCCAACATATCGTGGAATCGGTCTATGTACTGCATTATGATCGACATGTTGCCAGAAAATTATTCTGAGATGTACTTTGGACGAAAGTCTGGGCGTGACGTGTGTCACCTGCGGCTATCACCCTCTTGTCTGAAATAAAACAGAGAGATAGTCTCGATTATATCCAGGCGTTCGACTATTAACCGTGATTCGGGAGCGATTCTTGATTGGGAACTTTCGCGGACGCTTGTCGCAAAATGTATACACCGATCAAATCCGTGTTGTGAAATATTGATAGAACCGACACGATCTATCGCGCACGCGCACACACACACACACACAACATATATACACAGCATATATACAGAAACGACAAATCGTTTTCCCGACATCTATTGTATAATACTCGCTGACGCGCGCTTACAGCTACCGAATTTTTCATTCGAAAGCGATTACACGACACACAATCGGCCGACGTCGTCGCGCAATTCAGGAGTCGACCATGAATCGACACGGCCTTGAACTATTATAGCGAACACGCTCGTATCGTACAGCGAGGCGATTGCATTTCACTCGCGGCTGAGGAGGACGTGTGCTCCTGCGAATTCGCAAACGAGGAGCGCGAGTTGCCGGCACGATTGCGCGGCATTTCTCTTCGCTCCGCCGCGGAATCTACCAACTCTCGCCTACCTTCATCTATTGTACCTTACGTAATTCCAAACGCGATGATTCAGCTCATCGTAACGATGCGGCAACGGAAAATGACTTCACAGCGATAGAAGCACAGTGTCTGCCGTAAAATTATCGTAAAAACTACGATAGCAAAAAAAGCGCAGTTTTATCACTGATTAGTGCAATTGATTAGCGACGAATGGTCATCGCGTGTTTCAATGACACACAGGCTGCATTCGTTTTGACGCTTACAACGCTGTGAGCATCATTTCATCCTTGTTTCTATCAAATACAAGCACAAATGATGCTTACACGCGCTATAAGCGCCAAAACGAAGTCACCGATATCAATTATTTCATTTGCGTCGACTTGTATGCGTGTCACTGCGTCGAAAAAAAAAAAAACGAACAGCTTCAATTTTGTCAACCAAATTCTGAATTTTGGAAACTTAACTGTAAAAACATACACAATTAATTGCTTATTTAACAATTAACAATTAACAAATAATTTCAGTAAAACAACACGAGCTAATTGACTGCCCGAGGCAATATTCGGTTAAGTTAATGTAGCGAGGATCCAAAGATGTGCACATTGTTATGAAGCATTTTACGTAAGGAAATATGGAAAATGCTAATTCCGATTTCTACGCTTCGGGGCTGAGAGCGAAATTAGTTATGTTGTCGAGCGGCCGATTACTGTGCTCGCTACATGTTTTTTTAGATAATCCATCAAATTTCGCGAGCGAGATTCAACAAAGGATTTTCACCTAATTATAAATGCAATTTTTAAGAGTCTTTATCTTAAAATCTAGACATCAATCCACAATTATTGCCTCAATGTCTGTTCCAAATATTACTTCCCGCATACAAAATTTCTTGGGATCTTCAGTTAGAGTCCTATACAATTCTGCAAAATAATTATGAGCTCTGGTTAAAAGAATAATGTTTCAGACATATGTTTCAGACATATGATTCTATAAGTAGGAATCCCAAAGTACACACACACACATATATATAGAGAGTAATTCTAAATAAATGCGGGAAAGTTTAGAAGATGATTCTTTATCGAAAATTAAGAGGGGTCTTTCATATAAACATATACTTCTATATTTTTCCCTGAGGAGTTACACTCTTCTCAAGAGGAGATGAAAATTAGGTTTTTATTTGTTTTCTTAAATATTGGAAAAGTTAAAAATTGAAATCTAGTGGGTGTTTTCCACTAAAAAAGCTACTTATTAATATTTTTTTTTAATTCTCCCGTATCGTTATAAGGGAATGAAACCCCTGTTCAATTTCTTATTAGAACTTTTTAACGGGCAGGAATATGATGATCTAAAAATATGCGTTAAAAAACTTTATTCCTTTAGAAACTTTTTTATTCTTTTATTTTTTCATAAAATCAATAGTTTTCAAGTAAAAAAATAAAATATTTTATTATATACAACACGGCAATTCATCAAATTGCATTTTTAGTGAATTTAAAAATGTCTAATATAGGCGGTTGTCAGGTTGACAATTTTTCTTACATTAAAATTTCATTTAACTTTCTTGACATTGGAAAAAAAAATCTAATTTTCATCTCTCTCTTCCTTTAGGAGATTGTAATTCTTCAGGAAGGGATATAGAAGTATATGTTTATATGAAACATCCTCTTTAATTTTTGACAAAAAATTATTTCTTAAAGTTTTTCGTATGTATTTAAAATCATCTTGTATACATATACACATACACGTATGTGCGTGTGTACTCGTATATTATGTAGCGTGTGTTCATATGCGCGTAGTGTGTGTGTATGTACGTGTGTGTGTGTGTGTGTGTATACATATATATACCGGCTCTTATAAATAATATTAGTACGAAGGAAACACAACTTTTATAAGAGACAATTGGTGGTTATTTAGTATGAATAATTGTTATTTTACATAATAATAACTTAAAGTTTTTCAATATTTCTTCTGGTCTTCATTTTACATTAGAATTTAACAAAACATATGTTAATTCCTTAAATAATTTAATTATTCGGTAAACTACATTCTCAATGTGTTCTAAAAGTATTTTATATTTTTTTGTTTTTTAATTCTATTGAATACAATAATTGATAAAAAATGAGATTCCCTGTTTGAAACCATTAAAATATAGCCGACGTTACCGACTGAGAAGAAGTGCGAATTTCCATGATATTTCTGTGCCGATTCTTTCGAGACAAAGAGAACTAATGTTTGGAATAAGAGTCAGATTCTCAGTTGATATCTATACTTGGGGGAAATGTAATAAAGATCACGTTAAAATCATATTTCATTTTACAATGTTTAAAGCTGAATTATAGTGACATTGTAATATAAATTACTATAGACATAGTAAGTTTGACGATATACTGCGATGTAAAAGATATTCAAATAGTTGCAAAAATTTTGCATTAAAAAGTCAAATAGGCATAACATTTTTCAACAAATACATGGTAATTTCGATCGATAATTTCTGTACGATCCAAGATTATAAAATTTTATCGTAAATTTTACAATATTTTCTCTATCTGAGAGAAAAAATGTTGAAGAAAATTCCGTGCAGGCTCCTTATTCCAAATGAATTTCACACAAACTCAACTGCATTTCAACTATAGTTCCATTGCACTCTGTCTCGACTTCGTTAACCTCTGCGAAACTTGAATGCTTCCAAGATGCTCCGGGGCGTGCGGACCTATGCCCTCGTGACCAGACGGTCGATCGATCGCGCGTCCCGCGATCTTTTGGAGAATTGCCAATTAGTGGTTCAGGCAACAGGAAGACACCGGCTGGAACGAATGGAGGTCGAACGAGCCTCCCGTACGAGCGATCGTGATCGCGCTAGATGTTTTGCGCGCTTGCAAAACGAAAAGCCGAAAACGCGTCGAGCAAGCGAAATACCTCGGGATTATGTTGCGAAAACTGTATATATTATAACACAGAGAGCTCCGGCCCAGAAAACGAGCCACGGGAGACCACGTGTGCGTGTCTGCATGCGTTACGCAAGGGATCGGTCACACCTGCGCAAGCGTGTGCGTACAGCGCTCCCGTGGTCGTGTGTACCTGAAAATCGTCATTTAATCTAATCTAGGAGGAGAAGCGTGGCATCCTCCACACCTACTATTTCCTTCTTACTACACTGATCTATAAAAAAAGATACTTTTTTTGGTATATGAATAAAATTATATAATTTACATAATAGTTTTTATGCTGAATTGAAAGATGTAAGCAGATTTTTTCTGCCATCCAGCGTTTTCCAGTGATACAATTTTTAAGGTTCAAGAAAATTAATTCTTTTGTTGTATATACAAACATGATTTATCTAATTTTTGGCACATAAATAAAAGTATATAATCTACATAGTAGTTTTTATGCTGAATTGAAAGATGTAAGCAGATTTTTTCTGCCATCCAGCGTTTTCCAGTGATACAATTTTTAAGGTTCAAGAAAATTAATTCTTTTGTTGTATATATAAACATGATTTATCTAATTTTTGGCATATGAATAAAAGTATATAATCTACATAGTAGTTTTTATGCTGAATTGAAAGATGCAAGCAGATTTTTCCTACCATCCAGCGTTTTCCAGTGATACGATTTTTAAGGTTCAAGAAAATTAATTTTTTTGTTGTATATACAAACATGGTTTACCTAATTTTTGGCACATGAATAAAAATATATAATCTACATAGTAGTTTTTATGCTGAAAGATGCAAGCAGATTTTTCCTGTCATCCAGCGTTTTCCAATGATACGATTTTTAAGGTTCAAGAAAATTAACTTTTTTGTTGTATATACAAACATGGTTTACCTAATTTAGGATGTAAAATTCGGTGATTATTCGCTTGTATTCGGCTGGTGCCGAATGTATCTTTTAAAATGAAAAATATCTTATCAATAGTTATCATATATTGTGCTTAATTGAAGGAAAATCGCACAAAAGTGGAATCGTTGATGAATTTTTATAGAAAAATGTGTTGTTAGTTGTAAGTAGAGAAACATCTTATGGACGATACTTAATATCGATATTTTATTATTTTAATATAAAAAATGTAGAATCAAATTTCTGATTAAATTTTTTAATTGCGTCCCATATACGATGTATTAAATCTCAGATATTACAAAATAACCGTAAATAACGGAGTAATTCTGAGTTCATTTTCGGATTTTACGCACAAAAGCATATAAGATACACATCAGAAATGCTACAAATTACTTAAGACTAAGATTACAGGTACCGAGAAACTTGCACAATAAATATTTCGCTTGCGGAACATTCGGCAAAATTAAAAGCCATGTCGAATTGCTTCTAATCTTTAATTAATTCTAATTAACTCCTTCCCCTTAGCTCTCTCTCTCCCTCCTTCTTCCTCTAATTAATATTTCTCTCGATAAGATAAAGGATTCTCAGAGCTCTTCTTTCGTCACAAATGTAACGTTGGCTCACTGAAGCAATCTTGTCCGATCTCACGCTGTCCG